CACCAACTCAGCTTAGAGTGAACACTGCCTGTTGGTAGGAATAATTCCACTTCCCACTCTTTATTCCTTCTGGCCGAGTTGATTCCCAGCTGCGAGATGCTTTTGTTGAGGACAGAGGAGAGCAGATCGGGGTGGGGGTCGGGTGGAGAGGGACAGGGGGATCGACCTCATTTGTCACGCGGGCCGGATCTGATATAAATGCCACTTTGTTGTGCCGGGCCATGGGTGCCACAAAATGTAACGCCGGGTCCAGGAGAGAGACAAACTTTGTAAAGTATGCATTAATGATATTTCCCCCACTCAAAATACAACCGTGCTTAAAACATTAACACTCTTACAGTATTTCCTCAAAGCGTCTCCCTGATGCCTCTCCCTCCCACTTCCACAGCCTGTTAGTCATTAGTACTGAGACAGTACGCAAGGACAGAATGCCACTGTCAGGGCTCTTTCTGGGCAGGAACGCACAGGGACGGAGTTCCGGCTGGCTTCAGAGTTGGCCACGCCCACTACAGTCAAAACCTCTGCACGTGCGTGGCTACAGAGGGAAGGCCTGGAGAGCGACCCCCCCCCGGCAACTCTGAGGCGGGCGGGCCAGGGGGGGCCATGGAAGGATCGGGGAGGCATTTAAATCCCCCCCCGTGCCTTCCCCGGCCTGTCCAAGGGCCGGCTTGCCCGGGCTCCCTGCAGCTGCAGGGCACCCAGGGAAGCCATGGGGGTGTGGCCTAATATGCTAATGTGCTGTGCTGCCAGGGGTGTGGCCTAATATGCTAATAGGTTTCTGCAGTTGGGTGTGGCCTATTATGCTAATGAGTCCCTGCGGGACTTTTTCTACCAGAAAAGCCCTGGCCTCTGTCATCTGGCAATAAAGGTAATGACCAATCGCTCACGGGCCAGACAAGACCCCTGGATGGGCCAGTTTCCATAGGATTTCTGCCTGAGCTCTCACCCTCCCACTGACCTTTGCAGGTGTCTCTCCTCCCTCCGCTGTATGGCTGCACTTTGTCCTGCACACTGAAAAAGAAAGAAAAACCATGGCCTCGTTTATTCTTTCCGTTAAGGAAATACTAGGTGATGCAGTAGTTCTGCAAGTTCCGAGCAATGCTTCAAAACTGGCCCTGCCAGGCTGTTAAACGCCCCCTTTGATTGACATTCATGCACAATGACATACATCTGTGCTAGATGCTGCCACGTGCTTAGAGATCCAGTCTTGGGGTGCTTTAATGGCTCTGCTTGTATAAAAATGTTAATAATCACTGCCCCAAGTGCCATTTTCTCACGAACAGCTGGTGGGATTACAGTAACATTAAGGGCCAGTTCAGGAATTTTGGGTATGGAAAAGTAACACAGGATTGCAACTGTTTGCCAAAGGCCCAGTTGGAGTGTGTGGGAAAAGTCTTTCCAGTGGGGAGTGTATCTTAAAACCAGGGCTTTTTGTAGCAGGAACTCCTTTGCATATTAGGCGACACCCCCCTAATGTAGCCAATCCTCCAAGAGCTTACAAAACTCTTCTTACAGGGGCTACTGTAAGCTCTTGGAGGATTGGCTACATTAGGG